CGAGCAGCTCTTCAACACCTTCACTCTCTACTACTTCAAATCCAACTTGCTTTGCAAAAGCAACACCATGTTCTTTGATTCTTAGGAGCTCCTCTGATGGTTCAAAGCCTTTTAAATCATGAATAAAATCTGGGAGAAGCTTCCGCCGAACTGCATGCAAGCAGTCCTTGCTGACATCACCCCAGGCCTCCACAATAATGTCAATAGCATTCTTGATGTCAAAGCTCTTCCAAAATTGAAGAACACTGTCCTTATTTTCCCCTCAGTAGCTGCAATCAGCCTGTTAAATGTGGGCCTTAAATAATAAACTTTAAAAGCTGCTATTACATCCTGGTCCAAGGATTGAAGAAAAGAGGTTGGGTTTGGAGGTAGAAATAGCAGTTTGATGTTTTCAGAAAGCTCAGCAACAGTGGGAGGATGGCTTGGCACATTATCCAGAATGAGGAGAATCTTGACATTCAAATTTTTTTTTCTTGCAATAATTTCTAAAAAACCTCTTCAAAAACATCAAGAATAAGGTCAGAAAATATTTGCCCCATCATCCAACTTCTTTTGCTTGACCGAAAGTAGACACCTAGCGTAGAGTCAAGGTAACCTTTCAAGGCTCGCGGGTTGGCAGAGGGTACACCACCACAGGCTTAGACTTTAAGTCTCCACTAGCATTGGCACTCAACAGCACAGTCATACGATCCTTTGCAACTTTAAAGCCTGGAGCCTGTGCTTCATTCTTAGAAATGTAGGCTCTTGATGGCATTCACCTCCAGAATAAACCTGTCTCATCCGAATTGAAAATTTGATCTAAGTTATAGCGTTCTTCCCCCATCAATTTTTTCACTATGGGAGGAAATGTCCTTGTATGTTCCTTGTCTGCACTGGGAGCTTTGCTGCATGACTTTACGTTATGAAAAGCGCAGCAGTCCTTTAAAACCAGCAAACCAGCCACCACTAGCACTAAAGGCAGACACAGCTGCAGGATTTTCAGCTTTTTTTCTTTGGGTCTTCATAAATTGATAAGAATTTCTGTTTTATGGTGAGCAATATCCAGCAATATACCTTGCTTTAATTTTTTTCTGCACAGCCTCTAATAGTGCGTAACGCAGACTCCTTGACTATTGTTGCATGAACAATATCACATGCTATTTCATTACGTTCAAAATGCTTTTTAATATCTAGCGTCTCCTCAAGTGTTATAGCCTTTCTTTTTCGTTTGCCATCTGCAATTTTATCACCACGATACTTCTTGTAAACATTCTTGTCACTTTGTGTAATACAGCAAAACTTGCAAAAAAAAAGAAAATTACGGAGTACCTCTTAAAAGGGACTTCACAATAAAGCATGTGAGTCAACTGAACATGTGATGTAAATAAGGAGACTCTTGGAAACATTGTGTTTCCCCACGCACTGTAACACTTTGTGTCGGGGATGGAATTGCGTAATAGCCAACACCCCACATGCGAAAGTTTGCATTTTACAAACAGCGTTCCCCTATTCATCAATCTCGTTACAGCCAATTTGAGTTGAAAAAACAGTGTAATATCAGAAAGGACTATGTAAAAATTGATGAGTCGTGTTGCAGCTGTATAAAACTTTAGCTCTGCCACATTTTGGAATATTATGCACAGTTCTGGTCGCCACACTACACGAGGGCTGTGGAGAGGGAACAGAAATGGTTTATCAGGATGTTGCCTGGTTTGGAGGGTATTAGCTGAGGAGAGATTTGACATCAAAGGCTGTGGGACGACCTTATAGCAATTTACAAAATTGAGAGGCTTGGATAGAATGGAAAATCTAAGTCTATCTCCCAAGGTTAGAAATATCAGTTAGTGGGGCCATAACTTTAAGGTAAAAGAGAGAAAGGTTAAAGGAGATGAGCAAAACAGATCTTTTACACAGTGGGTAGTAAGTGCCTGGAATGCACTGTCAGAGGAGGTGGTAGAAGCAGGTGCAATAATGTTTTTAAGTGGCATCTTGACAGGTACATGACTAGGCAAAAATAGACATAAACCAGGTAGGATATAGTTGGGATTATGGAGACATGGCTGCAGGCTGACCAATCATGGGAACTGAATATCCAGGGGTATTCAGCTTTTAGGAACAAAGGACAAAGAGGAAAAGGAGGTGGGGTCACATTCATGGTTAAAGAGGACATTAATGTACTACCAAGAAGGGTATTAGCTGTAGTGAAGTGGAATCTGTACGGGCAGAACTTGATAACACCAAGGGGCAGAAAATGATAGTGGGCCTGTACATAGACCCCAAACTGTAGTGGTAAAGTTTGGGAAGGCATTAAACATGAAATTAGAGATGCAAACAAAGGTATTTGTACTTATCAGTGACTTTAATTTGTGTATATATTGGGCAAATCAAATTAGTGATGATGCCATAGAGGAGAAATTCTAAGGGTATGAATTGGTTTTCGAGGTCAAGAATCAGAATCGATTTACTATAAGGAAAACCATGCATGACAAATCAACTGGAATTGTTCTAGGATGTAAGTGGTATAGTTGATAAGGGGAGCCAGTCGAAGTGGTTTATTTGGATTTTCAGAAGGCTTTCAATAAGGTCCTAATGTAAGAGACAAGCATGTAAAGTTAAAGCACAAGGGATTGGGGGTAGTATATTGACATTGATTAAAAAAAACTAGTTGGCCAGTAGGAAACAATATATGAATAAATGGGTCATTTTCTGGTGAGTGGCAGCCAGTGACTAATGGTACCACAGGAATTTGTGCTTGGATCCCGACTATTTACACTACATTTTAGTACCCTCCATGTAAATCACACAGTGAAGAAGGCAAATGGTATGCTGGCCTTCATAGCAAGAAGATTCAAGTACAGGAGCAGATGTCATGATGCAGTTGTACAGAACCTTGGGGAAGACCACACTTGGAGTATTGGGTGCAGTTTTGGTCTCCTTATCTAAAGAAAGATGTTCTGGCTACGAAGGGAGTGCAGTAAAGGTTTGCCATACTGATTCCTGGAATGGCATGCCTGATGTATGAAGAGAGACTTGATTGGTTCAGACTATATTCACTCGAGTTTCAATGAGATGATTTCATGTAAATGTATAAAATGTGAACAGGATTAGACAGGTTAGATGTAGAAAAGATGTTTCTGGGGACTGGGGAGCCCAGAACCAGGGGTCACAGTAGGCCATTTAGGTGTGAGAGGAGGAGAAATTACTTCACCTAGAGAGTGGTGAGCCTGTGGAATTCTCTGCCACAGAAAATGGTTGAGGCCAAAGCGTTGAATGTTTTCAAAGAGTTAGATATAGTTCTTGGGGTGAAAGGGATCAAAAGATGTAGGGAGAAAGTGGAAACAGGGCATAAAGTTGGGTTATCAGCTATGATCATATTGAATTATAGAGCAGGCTCGACAGAACTGGCTGTTTCTGCTCCTGATATTGAAGTTTGTGTTTGTGGGAAATATTTGCTTTGAGAAACCCAGTGCCTTTGTGCATAAATCAAATTTAAAATACAGATACAGCATGCAGGTAAGAACACAAAAGGCTATGTTGGCTTTTGTTGCAAAATAATTAGTATAACATTGGAGGCACGGGCTTAGTGGTATTATCACTAGCCTATTAATCCAGAAACTTGGATAGTATTCTGTCTGCTCACTTCCTCGGGTCATCTCTCTACCTGCACCAAAAGTAACAGGTATGCTACCATTTTCATCTCATGTAATACCTGCATGTCTCTTACTCTAAGCAGAAAGCAGTGTCCAGTATTCATCAGAAAGTGATGAGGTGGACTGTCTGATATTTAAATGAGAGCATTCTGACTCTCCCTCTGACTCTGCTCCGAGTGGCTGGCTGACTGTGTGTCCAAGCCTTGGGCAGGTGTTTGAGGCAGCCCTTGACTTGCTATGTCAGGACCATTTGAGCAAAGCCGTCTCTTAACTTGATTGAAGACTGCTGACAACTATGACAAACTTCCTAACTATGTCTACACTAAACAGCAACGCAGGGTAAAAATGAGATGAGCCTGGTATCTCTGACTGAGAGGACAAAACTCCAAAATGCATGGGAGGGATGGCATGATCATTCAGTTTGGCTGGGTGTGAGTGAGCACTGTGATGGCAAGCCAACAGCTTAAAGATGCAGCTTTGTCCACTTAATGAGCTGACTGTATGCTCCTCACCATCCCTCAATTGGAAACTTGCTCCTGCCCACCAAGAAACGTAGCTTATCTCCCCTCTGGACAGCTTTGTGAAAGATACCATGAGATGCTTCCAACATTTGGGCAGGCTCCGCCAGACGTCCTGTCAATTCTACCACCAATATTGCCATAAGCCATGTTGCTCAAGCTACGATAAGATTCTGCCCATTTGTGTTTGGCTCAGTACCATACTACAGCTTTTTGTTTAGTTCCGGCAATGAAAGTGCCAGTTATGTTCAGGCCCAGAAATAGTGCAGAAATGATTTATCAGGCTAACCTCTGAAATCAAAGAACTGAGTTTTGAAAGTTTTCAGCTTACTGCCTCCCTTCATAGGGAATAAATAAGAGGGTTATTCATTTTGGGAAGGGGATAATTGTGCTGTATGTGGATTGGAAAGTACTGAGTACCATTTGAAGTCGGAAAGTAAAAGGGCATAGATTTAATGAAGGTCAGGCTCTGAATCACTGATATATACAATGGCGTTTCTGCAGAAATCGTAATCTGGGTTGTTGAAAAGGCAGTTGTAAATTGTGATAGTGGGTTTGAGAGGAAAGATGAGTTAGATGAGCACTGGACTCTACCTTTGGTCAAGTTAATTGCTGAAATAACAATGAAATAACTATGAAATAACTTAGTAGTTGGATGTTAGAGGTTGGGTCTATGTTTAGAACTAAGAAATAGTGATATTACATCAATTACATGTAGAGCAGATTTTGCAATTGTGAAGTCTGAACAGTTCTAATGTGGAGAGATAGCAGGATATTCTAATGTGGATTTTTTTTGATTTAAGTGTTACCATTGCAATTCTGAAATGCATTTTTTTTGTCTTTTTACTTGCAGGAGTACTTTGATTCAGGATGGAATTTAAACAATATGCCTGTTCTGGAACCATCAGTTTTGACGCACGTTAGTGCAGATATCTGTGGAATGAAATTACCATGGCTCTACGTAGGGATGTGCTTCTCCTCCTTCTGCTGGCACATTGAAGATCACTGGAGCTACTCTATAAACTACCTGCACTGGTGAGAGAGAGCCACTAACATAAGTATTCAATACTTTGGGTATCAGGGTTCAACTTGATTTTCGAAGAGAAAAATGCATAGGTACCATAGGCATTCGTCAGAGCTTGGACCTTTGCCCCTTGATGCTTTGCATTCTGGTATTGCTTCTGCTTGAAACATCTGGCCTGCAATTCTTTTTCACAATGTTCTAAAAAACTGTCAAGTGGAGTGCAGAGTATCAAAGCATCTTATCTTACATGTTGTTCAGTGGTTGCAGGTAAATAATGCCTATCAAAATATAACCTCCCAAGAAACTTTGGAATGAGGAAAGTCTTTGTTCTACAGATGGTTAAAGCTAATCATAGAATGGTTACAGTATAGAAGCCAATCAGCCCATGTGTCGTAAGACCATAAAATATAAGAGCAGCATTAAGCCAGTCAATGATGGCTGATATATTTCTTGACCCCATTCTCCTGCCTTCTCCTGGTGTCTGTGCTTAGTGCATTCTAGGTTCAAACTACATAAAGAAAATTACTTTGTCATTTCTTTCTTTGTCACTTGGCTTAAATCAGTGTCCTCAGGTTCTCTGTCCTTCTGCTAACAAACGTTCTCCGTCAATCGATTTTTGTCTAGGCGCCTCATGATTTTTGACCACCTATCAAGTCTCTACTTAAACTTAGATTCTCCAGTTTACCTGTGTAACTGAAGTTCCTTATCCATGGAACCACTGTGATTATTTTCTTTACCCTTTTCTAATGCTATGTAGAATGAGGTACTCAGAATTAGGATACGTCAGTTGAGGCTGAACCAGTATTTTATACAGATTTGTCATCACACCCTTGCTTTTGTATTTGGGGACCTAGCTCTAGTAATAAGGGTTCATGTGTTTTATTAACTTCTTTTTTTTTGCTAATCTGCCTTGCTATCTTCAAAGATTTGTGCACATGTTCATCCAAGTCTTGCTTCTGCTTCTCTGATTGAAAATTAGTTTATATTGCCTTTATCTAAACAATCAATTGTGCTTCATAGCATTAAATTCCATCTGCCACTTGTCAATTCATTCCACCAATCTATCTTCCCATTTCGGAAACACCGTCCATTTCTTAGTTCACAATAGTTTCACGTTTTGTATATTCTACAAATTTTGAATTCTGAAATCAACATGTATGCGCTTTTCATGCTTTGTCTCTATCTCATCCATAACCCAGGGATTCCTGGATTTGTTTGCCCTACCTTTCCCTTTCATGGGAATGTATCATGATTGTACCTGAACTAACTTGTCGTCATCTTTTTTGTTTGCCCTGATCAAAATTATGATTTTATTAATGATCTTGCCCAAAAATTGCAGTATTCAGAAAATACATGTGCTTTGACAAACTTGGTAATTTTACAATGTCATCAACAGATCCACATTTAATTAATTATAGAAATGTATATTTTTTACTGAAATAAATTTAAGCAATTTAAACTTGGATATCTGGTAGTGTTTATCCTAGGAGGCTTAGGAAGGAATTCACTAACTTACTGAACACTATTGCAGTTTTGCATGACTGGAAGCAAGCAAATAACAGCATGATTTGAATTATTGGAATGTGACTATGGAATTTACTATTGTCCTTGATTCCCAAGAATAAGAAAGTTACAATGAATCTTCATAAAATATTGATTTGGTTGCAACCAGAGTGTTGTGATCCATTCTGGGCAACATGCTTCAAGAAAGATGAAGTATTTGGAGAGTGCACAGAAAAGCTGGAAGAACGGTTCTAGGAATTAGGGATGCAAGTTATGGCTATTTCCCTTAGAGAAGGGAAGGTTAAGAGGACCTTGAATGTACGTATACAGAATCATAAGGGGTCCCAACAAATAGATGAGTGAAAAACTATCTGTTGGGTTGAGAGCCAGAGGATATAGATTTAAAGTGGCAAAAGGGTCAATACAAAGCAAATGTTTGTTTACATAAAGTGGTTATGATCTGGATGGTGTGGTGGGGGTAGATTCAATTGTGACCTTCAAAAGAGAATTGGATAGGTACTTGAGGGTTAATAAAAACTGTCCAGGTGCTGGAAAATCTACAGGATTACAAGGACAGGTAGGTAGTGCAGTGAGTTGATATGGCTTGACATGATAAATGGCTGTTCTGTGCTGTAACCATATGATCAAACTGATAGAATCCCTGTGGAATAATTTTACAAGCAGTAGCCAGATTCCATTAGATCCTACCTGCTAATGTTAAAGCTAAAGTATATAATACAACAACTTTATTCATTTATACAATATATTTATAATGTAAAACTTCCCAAACTGATTCACAGTTGTGTAGGAAATTGAACAATCGACAAAAAGCAGTAAAAGAGACATCAGATCGGATATCCAAGTTTTTATCAAAATAGTCGCTTTTAAAGAATTAGAGGCAGAAAAATTTCAGGACGGAAATCCAGTCTTTGTGGCCTATACAGCTGCAAGTGAAAGAAATTAGAGTGATATGTGAACAGAATTGTAGAAGTGCAGAGTTCTGAGGGCTTGGAAGGAAGTTACAGGAGTTGAAGTGGGGTGAAGCTGTGACAAAATTGAATATTCAAATGAGACTTTTAAAATCTGAGAGCCAGTTTTGGTATATGCACAGGAAGATTTGGTGCACTTGAAGATGTGCATAATAACTTTTGAAGAACTTAAAAGTTTGGAAGATGAAAAATGAGAGCATTGCAATAGTCAAGTCCACAGGTGGTGGCAGTAAATATGCTGAGGCAGAGATGAAGATGAATAATATAGAAATAGAAAGACTTATTGATTTTAAAAGACTGGTTGCTCATTTTAAAATTAAATTGCCAAGTGAGGTTATACCATTCTGATTCAGGCCGAGATAGTGGCTGGAAACGGTTTGTCATGCTAATCTAAGACAAAGGCCTTGATTATCCCAAGATTTAATGGGAAGAAATTTTTGCTCTTCAAATATCCTGTGAGTTTACATTAGCTGATACATTCAGAATAACGTTATTGACAGGCAGCACATGCAACTCCTTTATACATACTTGGTCTTTGAGAGAGTTTTTGACAAAGTTCCATGTGAAAGATTAAAAGCTGAAGCTGGAAAAGAGCATATGCTAATAAGATCCTTTCTAAAAAACAAAGGAAGCTTAGTATTCTTCAGCTGTAAAGTAACAGCGGGAAATATTGGAAGTACGCAGCAGGTCTGTCAACTTCTGTAGTGAGAGAAGCAGTTTGCATTTCAGGTTGTTGGCCTTCTGTCAGAATGGAAAATAAATTCTGACAAAATGTTATCAACCTGAAGCCTTGCCTCTCTTTTTTTTCACATTTCCATCGTTTGCAATTTGCTTTTCTTAGTTATTCAACCAAAGGCATGTGTTGAATGGAGCTTTGCAGAAGTTTTTGTCCCTGACCTTGTTTCAATCTGCACTTGTTTTTGGATCCAGACACCAAACCAAAAAAACTTGAAGTATTTGCCAAGAACACTGAATGGTATAGAGAGAGAGAGAGAGAGAGACAGCTAAAGATCTCTTAGATTTATCTCATTTTTACAACTGCATAACCAAGTGGCGTATCAGAGTTGAAGTTAATTCTGGATATTTAACATTGCTTGGAAAAATGTCAATAAGCATAGTGATCAAATGCAGAAACCAGGCAGTGTGGTATTTTAAATCCAATGTTAACGACTGTAAAAACAGCACTAACCAAAATAGCATGTGTTATAACTAGGGTGCATAAAAACATGCAGTGAGAAACATAATTGAACCCCTGTGGGTAATTTGGAAGAAGATAATTTTGTCAGATGACCCCCCCCAAAAAAAAAAGACAGATACGGACAGGGACACAAGTGTGGCTGCAGAATGGGAACCAGCAGGGTATTATTTTAAGTTTGCTTTGGACTTGGGAATGGTAGACAACAGAGCTCTCCACAAAGGTCAGTGTCTGGACCACTGCTGTGTTGCTCCATAAAATGACTTGGATTTTGGAAAATGATCTAAAATTGCAAAACTTTCAATTAATAATAACTTGGACCATTGCCAGACAATGAAATTGGTACCAGTTGATTGCAGCAGAACATTGGCAAGCAGAATGTGTTGACAAGCGGAAGGTGGAGTTCATTCTGACTGAAGGAATAGGGACATTCAGTATAGGTACCACACTGACATTTATCTGATAACATGCAAATTTTCCCAGGTTTGTTTTTTGCACAAGAAGCAGGATAAATCCAATTACTGACCACTTTCATTAGCAAAGAAATGGATGGGGTTATCAATAGTGCTATCAAAAGGTTGTTGCAAAGGAATAACCAGGCACTTGGATTGGGTTCCACCAGGGTAGGGTCACTTGGCTCTTGATCATATTACACCCTTGGTCCAAACATGGATAAAAGAGCTGAACTCCAGATGAGGGGTGAAGGCGACTGTCCTTGACTTCAAGGCAATTTATGACTTAGTATGGCATCAAAAAACTCCAGCAAACCTGAAGTCATTGGGAATTTGAGGGGAAACTCTGGTTGAAGTCATACCTCGCTGAAAGATGGCTGCCGTTGTTGGATGTGAATCACCTCAACCCCAGAAAATCACTGCATGAGATTCAGGATGCTATCCTAGGCCTAAACAAGGGGGCACTTGTTGTGCAGTGATGGGCGTCCTTTACTTTGGACTAGGAGCCCCAGTTTCAATACCCATCTGCTCCAGAGGGTTTGCAGTAACATCTCTGAATACGTTGATTAGAAAATATCTCCTAGGTCCAGCCACATGCACCTGCTTTGTCAGTGGCCTTCCCTCTAACCTAGGTAAGAAGTGGGAGTATTTGCTGATTGCACAGTGTTCAGCACGATTGCAATACCTCACAACTAATCATCTGTGTCCATGGGCATCAAGGTCTGGACAGCATCCAGGCTTGGGCTGATTAGTGGCAAGTAGTTTTTGTGCTACAAAAGTGCCAGGCAAAGACCACCTTCAACAAGAGTTGTAGAGATCTACAGCATAGAAAAAGGCCATCTGGCTCATTGTGTCCACACCAATCAAAAATA